ATCTGTGAGAGAAGGAAAGTAACTCGGCCTCATCTCCAAGCAGACATAGGAGGTGAGTTCCCTAGTGACTATGACTGGGACACAAGGAAGACTGAGAAATCAGAATCTCCATAGCTTCTCTCCACCACCTTGTAGACAGCAAATATGCAAATCCGCGCCAACTTTCACCGTGTCAAGAACAGGGAAATCTTACACTAGGAATCGATTCATCTACCTAGCTCAATCCATCAGTGCCAACATGCATAATTGAACAGCAATTTAGAGAGGCCCCAGGCCACAAAAGCTGGATTGAATGGTTGGCGCACTCCCTCACCAGCCCTGCCTGTGGTGCTGCTCATGCACCGCAAACAAGCAGAGCAGCTATAGAACCCTAGGAGTGCATGGTGTAACATGTCACCACACCCTCTTCCCTTCCCAGCCACACATGCATGCCACCCATTGGTTGCCACAACATTGAGCCGATATTCTTGCAAACCATGGCTACCAGCCCTGGCCCGGGCCTGGGGTGGCCTCCCCTTCCTGAGAACCATGGCTTCTCCCTTCATTCTTATATATATAGATAGATGCTTAGCTAGTCTACAAACTTGATTGAATTCAATGAAAGCCAAAATTAGAAAATGGAAATTCAGAAAAATAATTAGCCACACATGAACAGGGCATCAAACCGAGATCGATCTGCTTTTGCTAACAGAATCAGCTTTGCAATCCAGTCTGTAGCCAGAATCTCTTCCACCTTCAAGCTTGCCAATGGGAATGGAACAATCTCTTTTGCTTTGAGACATGCCTCATACAAGCTTGGATCTCGGGGAGCCTCATATGCTGCTAAAATCTCTGCAAGCCCATCAGCTGGAGTCAAGAAACCATCATGATCTCTGTCGATTGAGTTGAACCTCATGAAGATTTCAGTCTCATTGTTAGGTTCTCGATGTGTACAAAAGTTGTTATGGTGGTAGTAAACAAAAGCTTGGCTAAACTCGCTGAAGTCGATCCTCCCATCTTTGTTTGCATCTTGCACGTTGTACAACCACATTTGCAATTTTCTGCCACTTTTGTCCTTGATCCTCTCTGGGCTCAGGCAGTTCTTGAACTCCACCCAATTAAGAACCCCATCACCATTTTCATCACAAGCATCATAATAAGATCGATGATAGTTTTCTGGTAATGGGAAAAACTGAAATTCAAAGTTTTTGTATGGGATTGCCCTGGGTAGCATCATCATCTTCCAATCCAAATAATCCATGGCATACTCATACCAACCTAAAACACCATCCTTATTTCTGTCTTTACGTTGCCAGGTGAATTGGTCACGGATGTCATGCTGCTTATCAAACCATGCATCAGCCTCTTCCCTAGTAATATTGCCATCTCTATTTACGTCCATCTCATCAAGGTATTTTTGAGCAGTCATCTTTTCGAGCTCAGTCGGTGGAATATGTAAATTACGATAACAAGGACCTTAATTTGTTTTTAATACATGGAAAGAATTGAAGTTCCCATCAACATACCTGATCTTGTTATTTTACTTTGTGCACCTTGAGTAACCATGGCCAACACAAATATCGCCACAATTAAATCCATACTAGCATAGGGTTACTCGAAAAGCATGGTATATATATTGGTAAACCATATATGGTAACTTGTTAACAGCCGTTTTAACACAACGAGGTTATGGGAATCAGTTGATTTATTGTTACATGTTTTTAGGGCTCGCAGCTCCCGCATGGCAATCAGTGGTGGAATCCACCGCCTGGCAGCGAGAAGGATCGTCCAGGAGTAGACATTGCGATCGATGATCCTGGCGAAGGCAGCGCGGGCGTCTTGGATGCTGCCACAGTCGCCATACATTCTTACCAGGAGATTGCCCGGGTATCGAAGCCATAGCTGGCGAGATGCCCGTGCAGGTCCCTAGCATCTTTGAGAGACTTGAGGCTCCCACACTCGCGGATCCGTGAGGCATATGCCTCGATCCTATACATTCTTAAGCTCTTTCTAGCCTGAAGTTTATTCCATAAGCTTGTTAAGGACCATACTCCTCCAGATCATATATAATCATATGTGCATCATCTTATACATTCTCCAGCTCTTTCTAACCTGAAGTTTATTCCATAAGCTTGTTAAGATCATATACAATCATATGATCTCGCTGCATTGCGTAGCCAAAGATCCCCATAATTGCATCGCCCTCTTCGTCGTCCTTGATTTCTAAGGATGCCACTGTGATGAAGTTTAGTTGTTTAACCTGGTTTAATAAGAAAAAAAGAAAGAGTTTCCAAGCAATAAAACTGAATGGTCTTTTGAACTTACAGTAAAATCGCCACCCTCGAAGTGAAACGTGATTGGGTTGAATCGTGGTCGGGGTGTATATGCCGTTGCCCATCTGGGGTGTAGCACGTACCTCTACGCCCGTTTTCACATAGCCCAACTCCGTCTCAAAGTACTTATTGATTTCTTGGATGATTGGCTGGTAAAGCTGATTGATCAGAAATGTACTTTTCGTACCGATGTCAAAAACCACATAATTTGATTTTCTGTAGGTTGGTGGTCTAAAGTTCTTCCCGTAGAAAGCAACTGGATCATGTACTGTCTATCTGGTCTTGCTCGCATTTGGTTATAACTCCATTCTCCCAATTCCCTAGAACCAAGCATAAGGTACAGTTCACACTCCAAGCGTTTGTGAATAAAATCAGCAATCTGATCTTCCCATATATGCTTTGTCCTGGTGTAATATCTCTGATTTCTGAAAGAGCAATAGCAAACTGATTATCTGGAAGAATTACCGTAGGTTCCTGCACTCAACCAGATTTTCCTCTTTTTGCAAACTAGAATCTAGACTTAAACTAATCCAATTTACAAAAAACAACCACTCCACCCCCTTCTTGCCCAATTCGTGCAACTTCACCCTGGACCTGGCCAAACTGGTTTGGCAGAAAGTAGTTTGCATGAGAACCGGTTCAGCCAAATCTGATTCTCGACCAATGTGAGTTTCACGCATCGGTTCAATTAGCATCTTGACCACTGCGAAAAGTCCTGTGAGGACGTCCTCCATGTTGCTGTGGGGTAGAAGTTACTCTACCACTATAGGAGGTACGTCCTCCTCGCCCATGGGCCTGACACAGCCTCCACTGTCATGTCTGGCCTCCCACAGCCTCCACGGGTGGAGCTCATCTCTAACCTTTTTGCAAACATGGCGTGGTGTACCTCATAAGGTTGAGTCTTCCTTATGCAGCTGAGAAGTGTTCATAAGCTTCATTGCTGCCTCGTCAAACGAGGAGGTCCAACTCTCTCTCTCTCTCTCTCTCTCTCTAACGTTTCACTGTTTGCATCGAGTTAGAACATTGTATTCCTTGCCTTGAGCTGCTAGATCTGCAAAAAACCTACTCAAAGAGTCCACATGCTATTGCATATCCCCACCATGTTAAACATGCAAGCGTCCAAAACTGAATGAAGCTTCATCACTTCCAAATTAGACTTTTTGCCATATACATGTCATTCAGCCATTTCCAGAGATGGTTTGCTCCTTGCTCCATGTCTGACTTGAGTAAGATCCCATGGCTAAGGCACTCCACTGTCTGTTCAGACGTGCCTCAATAAGTTTCTTCCACATTGAGAAATCCTTGCCTTGGACAAGGGCTTGGTCCCCCATCCTCCCAGATCTTTACATCCTGCTCAGGAATGAAAAAGGTAAAAGATATTCGCTAAAGATAAACCATATATGGTTTTACCGGATATATATACCATGCTTTTGGAGTAGCCCTAAGCTAGTATGGATTTGATTGTGGTGATGTTTGTGTTAGCCATGGTTACTCAAGGCGCACAGAGTAAAATTCCAAGATCAGGTATGTTGTTGGCAACTTTAATTTTTAATTGCATGAAATCTTGCAGAAAGAGAAAATCCTTGTTATTATAATTTACATATTCCACCAACTGAGCTCGAAAAGATGACTGCTCGAGAATACCTTGATGAGATGGATGTAAATCCCAGAGATGGTAATATTACTAGGGAAGAGGCTGATGCATGGTTTGATAAGCAGCATGACATCCGCGACCAATTCACCTGGCAACGTAAAGACAGAAATAAGGATGGTGCTTTAAGTTGGTACGAGTATGCCATGGATTATTTGGATTGGAAGATGATGATGCTACCCAGGGCAATCCCATACAAAAACTTTGACTTTCAGTTTTTCCCATTACCAGAAAATTATCATCGATCTTATTATGATGCTTGTGATGAAAATGATGATGGGGTTCTTAATTGGGTGGAGTTCAAGAACTGCCTGAGCCCAGAGAGGATCAAGGACAAAAGTGGCAGAAAATTGCAAATGTGGTTGTACAACGTGCAAGATGCAAACAAAGATGGGAGGATCGACTTCAGCGAGTTT